TCTTGTCACCCAGAAGGGCCCCCCCCCCCCCATCCCCCCATCCCAGGGACCATGCTTAGCCTATTTTCCTTTCCTCCCTGATTCCCCTCGGGCGCCGGGCGTGCGATGTACATGGGTGAAAGGGTGAAGGCCGCCTATAACATTTGTAGAACTAAAAGCGTGTTTTTTCAGCTGGGCAGGGGGCTGACACTGGTTCTGCAGCCTTTCCTGAAGAAGGGTCAAGTTGTCATCACGAAACGCATTGATGGTGTAAAAGTCTCCTTTATATGGGGGCATCGGTAGTCGACGGATGGCCACCATCAAAATACTACAGACAATTATGGACACCGGCGCTCCAATAGTAGATAGGATAACGTCGGTTTAATGACGTCCGGGCAAAAACATACTTATTGCAACGTTTTCGGGGTCACCTTCATCAGGCATTACTTGTTCTGCTGATATAGGGGATCCTGCGTGACCCCGAAAAGTTGCAATAAGTATGTTTTTGCCCGGACGTCATTAAACCGACGTTATCCTATCTACTATTGGAGCGCCGGTGTCCATAATTGTCTGTAGTATTTTGATGGTGGCCATCCGTCGACTACCGATGCCCCCATCTTATTACTATGGATGAGCGGTCAGGAGTGCAATGGGTACATGGACTGTAACTACTTCCAGGGACGTCACCTCTTCTGTCCCCCCCCCGGTATATTTTTACAATATGTCCCTGCGGTGTTATGACGACCTACCCAGTCATTGTCACCCAACGTTCATATGCTAACAGGGCCGTCCCTGGGTGGTTGCCTCAGGCAGCATGTCATTGGGCCACGGGGGGGCCAGTGTCATCGATGAGCTGGATGGGATGCCGTGCACCATGATTTGACCCCCCAGAACGTCCACCACCAGCAGCCAACCTTGCGTACCTGTATGTATTTGTGACAGACATTTTCTAGAGAGACTCCGGAGGGTCCGGGGGCCTTGGATCTAGAGGACGTGTGAGGATGACAGGTACAGTATATATTGACATGCTCTGCCCGGGTAGAAGAGGGGAAGGTCTCCCATGGTGCACCTCTCTGTATATTGGAACTGTAACAATGGTAAAAGTATCAAATGTTCATCGCTGAGAAAATGTTTCACTGACTTCCATTGTATATTTGTGTTCAATTGTTTCATCAGATACAGAATCCAGCGTTGTGTGATCCCGTCCAATCAGATCTCTGTACATGATAGGCACTCTGTGATCAGATCCCTCTATGTTATGGATCCTGTCCTCATAATATCCAGGCAGATCCCTCCACATAATAGATCCCACCACCGTGTGATCCTCAGTCAGGAGATCCCAGGACCGTGTGATCCTCAGTCAGGAGATCTCAGCACCATGTGATCCTCTGTCAGGAGATCCCTGTCCATTATAGATCCCAGCACTGTGTGATCCTCAGTCAGGAGATCCCTGTCCATTATAGATCCCAGCACCCTGTGATCACCAGTCAGGAGATCCCTGTCCATTATAGATCCCAGCACCCTGTGATCCTCAGTCAGGAAATATCAGCACCATGTCATCCTCAGTCAGGAGATCTCTGTCCATTATAGATCCCAGCACCGTGTGATCCTCACTCAGGAGATCTCTGACCATTATAGATCCCAGCACCGTGTGATCCTCACTCAGGAGATCTCTGACCATTATAGATCCCAGCACCGTGTGATCCTCACTCAGGAGATCTCTGACCATTATAGATCCCAGCACCGTGTGATCCTCACTCAGGAGATCTCTGACCATTATAGATCCCAGCACCGTGTGATCCTCACTCAGGAGATCTCTGACCATTATAGATCCCAGCAGTGTGTCATCCTGTCCTCGTGGTGTTCGGTCAGGAGATCTCTAAAGATCCCAGCGTTGCCTGGTGATGACGTTCAGGGGTGATCTGCACTGCTGTGAGCTGTCCTGACTTGTTATAGGTCATGTATGTTGTGTCTTATGACGGTAACACGTCTCTCCCACCATATGTTAGGTAAAGGGCCAGAGACTCTGTATGCGGGGCAGAAGCTGAATGATAATGAGTGGCACACAGTGAGAGTGGTCCGGCGAGGGAAGACCCTAAAACTGACCGTGGATGATGATGTAGCAGAAGGTGAGCTGTGTGTGGGTCTGTGGGAAGGTGAGGGACACAAATA